AGTGTAGATCAACAAATCTATGAAAACTTGAAAATCTTGAAAATTGACAGTAAAAAAATGAGTTACAAAATACACCATTTCCAAAGATTGAAATCCATTTTTTTCTCCTGTCCATGCATCGTGATGTCGAGATGATCAATTTGAGGATATTTGGGAATCAAAACAACATCATCTAGTGAAATTTTTGAGATAGGCTCTAATTTGATTGTCTATAGCCTCGGCTCTATATAAACTTTTCCATATATATATCTATATATATATATTGCCTCAGACCAAGCACGTTACATATATAATATATAGAGAGGGTTTTTGTTAGGGTACTCTTAGACCAGTGTTTTAAAAAGCACTAGATGGCACCTAGGCAGTTGGGGGAGTCCAGGCTGCCCAGCACCTAGGCAGGCGCCCAAAACTTGAGCGGCCTAGTAGAAATTTTTATTTTGTTTGGGTTTTCTCTCTCTAAAATCTTCTAATGGGTTTTAGATTTAAAATGAACCTAAAACCCATAATTTTGCCCCTTTAGTATTAAAAAAATATCCCAAAAATACCCTCAAGGAGCCATATTTCCCCCCCTGGACAGGGCACAGGCCTAGACGGCCGCCTAGGCAGGTTCAAACGGGCACCTAGGTAGGCGCCCAGGGATATCCGCCTAGTTTGGCCGCCTAGGCCTTGGTGATGCGCCTAGGCCTTTTGGACCGCCTAGGCACTGAGCAGTTCACTTTTTAAAACTATGTCTTAGACATGGTTTATTTCCTTAGTGTACTCAACATTTTTGGACTCTTGATACCCTTGCCCCTACTATGTAGTAACTTTTTTATCAAGGGGTATTTTAAGTAGTTAATCAATTGCAAAATAGAATTTCTTGATAGAATAAAAAACCTATTAATTCTATTAGAGAATAACATCATCATCCACATGAGGTGTAATATCACCCCATATAGAGCATTAATTGTTTTTTAACCACTAATAGAATGCCACTAGTTTCTTATAGAAATATCTATTCTACACCTCCTAATAACAGAAAATGTCCTTGCTCAAAAACTTTATATTAAAAAACAAGGGTAATGAGTGTTCAATGAATGATGAGTATATTAAGAAAATACTCTATGCATGGGAGCACCCTAACAAAACCCACTAGACACGCACATACCGTTTTCCTTTCATCTAACGAAGATACAATCACTCTTAGCTATCAGATGTTTAATCCAACAGCTTGGGGTGTGTCACAAAGTTTTAGAATGTTTTTTAAATTTCGGCGCTTGTCAATGGCACACTCCAAGCAGCAGATTTCAAACCTAATGACCTAAGAGTGATTGTGACATCCTTGTATCAAAAGTATGTGATTTTATTTATAGATTTCCATTCATACATACATATAAACTCACTATTGGTGCGCCTCAATCATGAGGTGCCTGCATAGGTTGGCAAGGTGCTGCCTTGGTGGCCTCTGCTGCATTTTTACCGCTGCATCCATTAACACAAAGGTTAATGGACAATTTGTAGTTTGAGTTAGGCTTTCAAGTGTAAATCAACTACATGCTATGGTCATGTAGGACCCTAGATTACAAATGCCTAGATACTGTCTAAAAAGGAATTCAAACTAACTTATGGCCCCAGGTAGCACCGATGGAAAAGCTTGAAACTAGCACTCTGATTTTATTGACATCTATCACAAGATTTGTTTCACTTTCATTATTTGTTGACGGCATGTCTTATCAATAAAGAATAACACTGTACAAGTCTTTTTTTTTTTTTTGACAGAAAGGTTAACTTTGTATTTATAATAAAAATTACAAAATAACAAATATAAACATGGCATCCCACAAGTTGGGTGCTCAGACTACATCAGTTACAGTAGGAGGGAAGATAGAGCAAAGAAAGGAGAGAAAAGGGAAAGAAAGAATGGCAAGGAAGAGAGAAACTGAGATTATGGGAGTATATGAAAAAAGAGGACCCAATTATAGGTGCTCAAAATTCTCCCTGCTTCGGCCCGCTTCGGTCTGATTCGGTCTCTTCGACCGAAGCGTTGACCTCTTTTGTCGAAGCACATAATTGTCCTTTTTAAATACAATTATGTGCTTTAATCTGCTTCAGTCGAATTCGAAATTTTTGGCTGTAGCACATATTTGTATTTTTTTAATATTTTTTTAACATTTTTAAATTTTTATTTTTAAAATTTTTATAATAATATAGTTTTATATATAAACATATTCTTCATTTATATGACATTTTTTTTTAAATTCCGAAGTCATCCTCCGCATCAGCGAAAAGCACTGAATTGCTTCATTTTTTCCCACCTAACTGAAGTAGAATCTAAAGCAAATCTGACAACACTGGTCAAATCTATTTACAAATACATCTTTTATTTGGTGGCTACTTATAAGCCGACCCCAATTAATTGGGAAAAGGCTTTGATGATGATGATGATGTGGTAGCTATTTCTAAACATGTTAACAAGTAAATAATCATCAACTAACCGCTAATCTTTATATATGCATGTTGAGGTATAAAACAATCATCATCTAGCATAGAAACATATAACCAGGGCCACTAACCATTGTTTACTTTATTCCCTCGTTAGTATAGAAAGCTATATCACCCAACAAGAGAGAAAGAGCCTGAAGATAATTATGCATGAGCAAAACATAGATTTTGTACAACAACACCATTACAAACCAAACTGAAAAGTGATAGACATAAGTGACCTAGGGTCACATCTCAAATCAACTAAAACACAATACAAGTATAAGCTCTTAGGGCTTCCTTTGAGATTCCAAACAATGCTTAAGTGCCATCAGCGAACAGAAACTAATCTCCACCTAAGAAACATAATATTCATAGACAAATACAATGTTAAACAAAGTGAAAGAAAGTCACAAGCATTCAAGTAGTCACAGTTGCAATCAACCTAGTAAAAGCATAAGCCCTCTTTTTCAATGTTCAAGAAGAGCTCTCAAGGATCTCAATTGAATCACACAATGCTTTCAAGCGCCACCGTAGAACAAAAACTGATGACCTTGTGAAACCGGTTCACATGAGCTGGCAAGTCCGGTACCCTCCTCCAATTGCATTCAAATTTGGAACCAATCTCACATACGCAAGAAGGATACATTTTGCTATGCTCTTCATTAAAAACATAGATTAGGTTCCCAAGGCCCACACACTTCAAGCTCGCAAATTTGTCATCCTCCTCACTATCAAACAGGCTGTACAAAAGGCCTCGAGGCATCTCCCCAATCTCACCAAACTCCATTGTTTGCTCATCAACACTCCACAACCTGAACAAAGGACCACTAGAATCGTTGCAAAGACCAGCAAGAACAAGTTGGCCCACACAAGCCATAAGGAAAGAGGACACAACACCAGGAGGCCTCAATGTTTGAACCCGGTCCCAAATGTGGAGATCGAGATCAAAGGAACAAATCGAACAAGAGTATCTCCCAAAAACAAAGAACTTTCCATTGAGTAAAGCGGATGAGAGGGACTGAGATGAGTTGCCTGATTCAAATTCAGTGGGCAAAGCGGGGCAAAGCTCCCATGAATTCGAATTCGAATCATAAATCTCGACCGCCAATTTATCCTCAATATCAACCAACCCACCTATAAATCTGACTCCCCCAACTACTATAAACCTGTGCTTGCCCCCTTTTTTGAACAGACCCACTAATGGGTTACACCTAGAGAACCGAAGAGGAGCAGTCTCTTTCCATGAACTACTAAGCACGGGGGCATAACAAAATCGAGAAAAAGTCGATGAATTGCTCCAAAAGAAGAACCCACCTGAACCCACGAAGGAATCCTCCTGGTTTGGTTCAGGAAAGAGGTAAGTGGGCAATCGGGTCCATTCATTAGCCTCTGGATCAAAACCAAAAACCTGGTTATTCTTCAAGAAAATATTGTTTCGGCCATAAATGAAAAACCATGGTTTCTTTGACTGCGAAACACGAGACGCAAAGGTTTTCTCCGTGATCAAAGAGTGCCATAGCTTGCACACAGCTCTAGCTCTGATGATGGACCTTATGGGAAGGTAAGAGAAAATCAATTCGATTAGGTCTGAACTGAGAGAACCCCAATTGGTGGTTTCAGGCCTAGAGGCAGATTCCAACCACAAATCCATGGAAATGCATCAAAACATTGGATCCCGAGTCAGAGAGAATAGTATTCTTATAGAAGAAAAAAGAAAAAAGCTGAAGCGAGAAGAAGACGAGACATAAATGGATAAAATTAAGCGACAGATATAGGGAATTTAATATTGACCCTGACGCGATCGCAAAGATATTATAAACCCATTTCACCTGCCTCCCTTTGGGGTAACTCTGTAACTTGTCCTTGAACCTCCACCATCAACACAGATCTCTCTCTCTCATACAGAGGCAACACATGCTAAAGCATCGGTCTCTCCTCTCTCTCTCTACACTAAAGCACCCACCTCTCATGTATGCTCTCTCCCTCTCTCTCTACAGTGGTAGCAGGTAATGGAGATTGAATTCGTGGTTGGGGTGGCGTTGTCAACGGTGGGTAAGAATTTGGAACCTTCTCCTCTTTGACCTTTGCCCCTGCTTTAGAAGCAAGCAATTCGAGCTCCGAATCGGACGCGCCTCACATCAAGAACTCGATTTCCGTGACCCTAAAGGGTCCTTGGTAGGGCCGGCAACGGGCTAGGGCTAGGTTAGGCTTAGGCTGGGCTAGCCTTGGCCCTAGCCCTAGCCAGGCTTTATTCCCTTGAAGGCTGGGTCGTTCCTGTCCCTTAGCCCTATTAGACCAGCTCGGCAAAATTACAAAAAATTAATGCAAAAAAGATTAGAAAATAAGGGGTGGGCTGGGCCTATATAGGCTTAGGCTGGGCAAGCCCTGACCTTTCTTGATCTCTTCATTTTTCTAGACACTTGACTCAAGATATAAAAAATGAGCTCGTTTTCGTATATGGTTTCAAGGGACATGGTTACATACGTAATGTCTACAAAAAGAGAAGAAAATGAGGAGTTTGAAGGTCAATTAGAACTTGTGAAGAGACCAAGGTTAAGGGACATTTACCGCCACAAAATGGGATGGGGCTATGATGGGGTGGAGTTCTCAAAAGGCCAGCATGAGTGTTGGGGTGGCTTAAGGAACAATGCAAGTTGATGGTTGTTTGTAAGGGCTACCAGTTTTTAGGCTCTTCCCTCTCACACCTCTAAACACCCAATTCATTATTCCTTTTTACCACTCTTTTTCTAAACGCCCAACATGTTCTCCACTATCACATTCTATCTCGAGAAACCCAATCCAATTCTTGCCTCGTCTCATATTCCATCTTTAGAATTCCATTCTCATTTTGCACCCACCCACATTTTCTCTAAAAACCCAACTATTCATGCCTCTCGTATTCTCTATCTAGAAACCCATCTTTTTTTTTTTTTTTTTAGCCTCCACTCATATGTTCTCAAGAAACACCAACCTCATTCTAGCTCTACCTCACATTCTTTAGAGAGAATACAAGAAAAGAGAATATTCCCCAAAAAAAAATAATATATATATATATATATATATATGAGAAGAGGGAAGAATGCATTGGGTTTTCCAATAGAATTAGATATCTCTCTAAAAAATTGGACGGTTTCCATTCAATTTTTAGACATTGTTTTTTTCAAATGCATGGATGGTGCAATTAGAAATTTGTTTTTTATTGGGGTTAATCTATTGGTTGAAGAAGTTACACCTCCGAAAATTTATCCCAGATGGGGATTTTACCCAACGGAGTAAATGGTCAATATACTCCCATGGCCGTATAATATGTTTTGGCAAAGAAAATTCCAAGAAAGGGTAGGCGTTTCCTATACCTCTAGTAGAAACTAGACAAATATAAATGCCAATGCCTGATCAATGCAACTTCATTTGAAGAAATTCTCACTTATATAAAATTTTATTTCTATTGACAATGAGAAATTTTTTACCATTTAGTTACCGATTGTAATTATTACAAAATTTGGTGGCTTTTCATTGTGTTAGCCAAACAACGGCCACTTCTGTTCACCTGTCGCATAGGAGATAATATTTCTTTTGAGGGGTCCAATGTACTGAGCACCATGGAAGGCAGCCGCCCTTAGAAGGTTTATGGGTCCAAGATCGACTGAGAAGGCCTTCTGAAAACCATCAAGGATAGCCATCATTGTCAAATTAGCCATCTTCCTTTCTTTCTCATATTTCTTCAACAGTGACAGCTGCATATGTAAAAAAGCAAAAAGCATTGTTCAGCTATGCACGCAGGCGAAAGCTGCATATTTTCTCAAATACCAAACTGACCACCAACATAGTTATCCATCAATGAATAAATATAGTAAAATAGAAAAAAAAAATTTAGAGATAGCTATATCGAAAAGAATTTACAAAAAGCACATAATATATATACCTTTGAAGATGAATATGAAATTCCTCAAGCTTTAGGAATTAAAAGAAAAAAGAAAAAAAATCATGCATAAAATCCATTTAATTGTGCAAAACAAAATGTAAATACAAAAAACTAGACATGAGCAAATAATAAACAAGACGAGAAGTTGAAAAAAGAATAAGCCACGCAAAATCACTATAAAATATATGGGTATAGGGAGGTAATGGAATGGAAAAGAGAGAAAAGAGGGATGGAGTAGTATAGTAGCATGTGGTAAGTTCTTCTTTAAAGGAACAAAAGAAATCGCAAATTATTATGGCCTTTTAAATAAATAATTGCCTAAATATTGATGAGGCATAATGGTTACCCTCAATCAATGTTACACGGTTCATGCTTCTCTGTACACCTTCAATATACTAGGTATGTATCTCTAAAATCTAAATCAATTGCCACCTCCTCTCCCAACTAATGAAGCTCTATGTTTTTCCCCTCTTTGTAAACCTCTTCCTTCTTTAGAATCTGTCTTTCAATATCTATCACTTGTTTCTTCTAACCCACCTTAAACAAGTTCCCTTTCTCTTTAAACAGAATTAAATTCAGGTCACATAATCTTTCTCTTTCTCTAAAGAAAGTACCCCATCCTTATCCTGTCGATATCCAAAATGATCTACCTTGTGCTTATTCTTCCAACCAAAACATGCCACTGTTTCATCATCAATGATTAAGCCACCTCTGTAATCTGGCTTATTTCAAAAGATTTACTTAATTTGAGTTTTGGATATTTTTTTTTCGATCTCTTCAACTTAGGTGATGTATCTAAAGGAGGAGATAGGAAACAAAGAACTGAAGGGAATTATCTAAACCTAAAACTAGATAGCCAGTTGGGCTCTCTTATATGCTAAGTGCCTTAAACTCTCATTTTCTTAAAGACTCCTGCTTTAACCTCTCTCAAGGTAGGTTCTGTTCTAGTTAAATGCCAGGTGTCTTATACCTACTGTGGTTTAATGTGTGTGTGTGTTTAGAGAGAGAGAGTTAGAGATACCATTGAAAGTTACATATTGCAAATGTGGTGGCAGTTGTCATGATTGAACAAGTAGCAGGATGGAGAAACAGCATCTGAGACAAACGGGCCCAAGACTTTGTCAAAATTACTGCAGCGAATATGTTTTTACTGTCATGGAGACTTTATTTTTTGATATAGATCTGATCTTTGATTGCTGAGATTATCAATTCGATGGGAAACCCATGTGTTGTGCTACTACTATAAACCGAAATTGTTAAAAGTCAGTCCTAAGAGAAAATAAATTGTCCTCTGCCACAAGTGATTAAGACAAACTGCAATCAGGGATTTCAGTTTACAGCAAACTTAAAGAAACAAAATCAAATATGCACTAGTATTAGCTTTCCAAATACAAAAACTTCAGAATTAACTGCAAATAATTCATTATTATGAAGGAACAAATTTAAACACATGTCATAAGTTGTAATTTAACATAAAAGTGTGCATGGCCATATGATTCGAATTTTACCTCACCAATGTCTGAACCCACTAAAATTCCTTCCGCAATAATATTTGAAAGACAAATTGCATCACCAAACCCCAAATTTACTCCTTGGCCTGCCAAAGGATGTACAGCGTGAGCTGCGTCGCCAATAAGCACCACACGATGTGATGCATATTCATGTGCATGCATAAGAGACAGAGGAAATGCCATCCTTTCGGAGACCAACTGGTCTATTTTGGGAGGCACCTCAAAACTTTCTTTCATTGAAGATATTGCACCCCCTGCCAACCATGAGAATTTATCGATGAAACCAAGATTGGAATGAGGATGAGGACCATATCCATAATCCAAAGCATGGTTTATCGCTTTCACAAAATCATCCTCATGCATTGATTTATGATTGGAAGCCTCATGGGGAGTCATTGTCCACACAATATTACTGTATGTATCCCCTATTGGTAAAAGTGCTATGGGACCAGATGGAAGGAATCGTTGCCATGCACAGTGATTTTCAGTTGCGTGTTTAACAGTGCAGATGACTGCATGCTGAGAATAGTTCCATCCAGTTGTTTTCAGTCCAGCTATTTTCCTAACACTTGACTTGGCTCCATCAGCTCCAACCTGGATCAATTTCCATCAGTCTAATGCAGTGAAAGAGTAAAGTTCACAGGTGAAAGAATCAGAGTGTAGGACAGACAATATAAAACAGGGAAAGCATAATATAGTCCATCAGATAGTCCAATGGATAGTGATAGAGTGACGAAATGGATGGTGAAACCACATATATTTCAATATAGACAGTCGGTTAATAACTGCCTGATGGAAACGGATGGTGATAGAGTGACGCCAACCATAAACATGATATCTCTATGTTGGGCATTTGCGCCATGCTATCGTGATCACCATCCATCATTTCAATGTTTACGATGGAAATCGGACAGATCTTCCGACGAAGATCTCTCGGATTTTGACACCTTAAACTGCTAAAAATAATGTGGTAAAGAAAGTAGGACAAATTGAATTCCGATCTGAGGCAACATCTGCCCAGAAACGCGTAGATCCGCTCTCAGATCTGTGGCAGAGCCAGCATGATCCAAAACATTAAAACACGAGTTCAAAGCAGCAAACTGACCAAAATTAATCAAAATAAAATCAAAATATTAAGAAGAAGAAAAAGAAAGAAAAGGTAAGAGAACAATTCCAAACCGAGCCAAATGGCCCGGGACCCCCAAGCCTTCGAGGGCTCGCCCGTATCAGAACCAACGTCCTCTTTGCCTCTCTGATTCAGAAGTTGACCAGAAGATCTCTGATTTAAAAGGGTTGTTGTGCCCTAGAGATGATTGAAGAACTAGGGTTCCTTAGGTCTAGGTTAAGATTTCTCAAGCTTAGGGTTAGGGTTTTTCAGATTAGAGTTTCATAAGCTCACGAAGTTAAGAGGTTCAAGGCCAGACTTTCTCTAAGCAAAGGGGCTAGGGTTTCAATCTTCCTCCCCTCCTTAATGGCCACGAAAATGAGGTTTTTATAAACTGAAATCGTTTGAAAAAGGGAAACTTTCCATCACCAGCCAATTGTCAACCCTAGACTACCTTTCTGGGGTCCCGGGTCTACGCGACACTGCCAGTGTCGCCTAGCCAAATTTGGCCAAAGTGAGAGAAAGTTCACCCAAAATGGTAGGGGATCATTCTTGTGCGGAAAATGCCGTTTTCGGGCAGTCTGGGCTGGGCGACACTAGCAGCATCGCCCAAGTCAGGGCTGCCCAAAACGGCAACTTTCTGCCCAAGACTGACCAATGAGTTGTCCTGCAAAAAACGGAAGATTTCGGGTCAAACTGGGTTGGGCGACTCTGTGTGTCGTCCAGTCTGGTGGGCGGCACAAAGCATATCGCCCAGTCTGAGTTGGGCCACATTAGGTGTGTCGCCCAATCTAAAAATTGACCGAAATTGAGAATTTTCAGCTCAGGTGTGCAGTTCAGGCTGTTGTGAAGCTCCCAGAAAACATTTGGGTCAAAAAGAGTTATTTTACTATTTTTGGTATTTTTTTAGTAAAACAGGGTGTTTGCCAGATTCTGGATCAAAACAAGGTATCTGCAGGGTTCTGAGTAGGCAAAATGGTTATGGATCATAAGGTAGGTTGTGTGGGCTATAGATTTGGGTTTACTAGGATAATGCGGTCCTAAGGGTTCAGAAAATCACAGAATTTGTAAAATTTAAAATGGGGACAATTGAGTGGCAAAGAAGTAGACACTCTTTGGCGTTCCCTATCCTACAAGGGGCAGGTGAATGTCAAAGATAATGTAGACATTTTAAATTTCTTCCTGACATCAAGTGATCAAAAGGTGCTCCAACTAATCCTTCCAAGTCATTGGGCTCACGGAGCTCACCCACCTAAGGCATTTTCCTCCTAGGGTTTTCGGCGTGAGATGTCGGTGAATTACACAAGCTTGAAACTCGAGTTGGATTTTCTGGCCATGCCATTTAACTTCAGGGGTTTTTCACAATTTCATATTCTTAAATCTGGCATTTTCTTTGTTTTCCTTAAGGTTTTCTAAAGCTTTCTATAGGAAAAGGCTTTCTATAAGAAGAGACTTGTCTGGCCGATTCTGAAGAGAGAGACGAGGCAGCAACGCAGTAATCGCGGCAACGCGGTAATCATCATATATGGGTGTCTAAGCTCCTTCGTTTTTAAAAGTCGTTTTTAGAAATTTTGAAAACAAGGGGGAACTTTTAAAATAGAACCTAGAGCTTGGACAGGTCACGATTTTAACAAAGAAATTAAAGTTTTTGAAAACACAAGACATATAGTGAAAATTTTAAAAAAGAGATATTTCGAAAACAAAGCTGGTTAGTTGTAACTCCTGCAACCATAGAACCTTCTAAGCAGTTTAGCATCATGCAGTGATGGACCATACACTCGATCTTTTTACGTCATATGGGGCTAGACGGAATACACCTGACTTTTTACATCATACGAGGCTAGATGTCACCTACCTCGACTCCTTTAAGTCGCACGAGTTTAACGTTGAGTTGGATACACCCGACCTTTTACGTCATACGGATCTTTTACGTCCTACGGGGCTAGGCGGAATACACCCGACCTTTTACGTCATACGGGGCTAGACGTTAAACTCGATACACCCGACCTTTTACGTTACACGGTGCTAGACGTTTTCTGAATACACCCAACCTTTTACGTCATACAGGGCTAAACGTTTTCTGAATACACCCGAACTTTTACGTCATACGGGGCTAGATATTTTTCTGTCTCGGCACTTTTATGTCTCACGAGTTTACCGTTTTTCTATCTCGACTCTTTTATGTCGCATGAGTTTGACGTTTTCTTAATTGAATTTTGGTTAACAGTTTAGGCTTGTGCCACCGAGGAGCGTTTTCTTTTTGACTTTTTGAAATTGGGTGACAATTAGGCTCATGCCACCAAGGAGTGAGTTAAAATTTTTGAAATTAACTAAGATGTTTGAAAACATTCAAAATTTTTTTTTTTTACAAGGAACCAAACTTGTTCCCTTAGTTTCCAAAAATGACGGGGGGCATTTTTTGAGAAAACATTTTTGGGCGGCACTGGTGTTGCCGCCCGGGCGGCACTGGTGTTGCCGCCCGAGCGGCACTGGTGTTGCCGCCCACACAGTCTAGGATTTGGGTGACACAGGTGGTGTCGCCCTGAGAATTTTTATTTATTTATTTTTTTTTTGGGTGGGCGACACTTGTGCTGTCGCCCTAGAAAAACAAGAATTTTTTTTCTTTTTTACTTTCTTAGGTGGGCGAATTTTTTTTTTTACTTTCTTAGGTGGGCGACACCACAAAGTGTCGCCCTTGAAAAACAATTGTTTTTTTAGTTTTTTTTTGTTTTTTTTTTTTTTTTTTTTTTTTTGTACGTACTACGTACGTACTAAACTAAAATTATTTTTCTTTTTTTTTTTTGTAGTAGTCGTGTCGACAAAAATTTTTTTTTTTTTTTTTTGGAAAGACAAGAAGGGGAATTTGAGCTAGGCGACACAGCCTGTGTCGCCCAAAAAAAATTACCTTCACTTTATATCGGCTGTGTCCCCCTTCTTTCTCACTCTAAAACTGTTTCTTTTCCCCTATTTTTATTTCTTATGTTCACTGTCCTGTCTACCTCATCATTTTCTTTTCAAGGATCCACTTCCTCCTTTGAACCTCATTGTTTCACTCTCTCTCTCTCTCTCTCTCTCTCTCTCTCTTTAGAATTGGGTTGGAACCATTCCAACTTCCACATTTCATCTATTCCCAACCCTTCTTCCTTCATCAAAGCCCCATTTTAAACCCACAATTTAGCCTCGATTTCCACGGTAGTGTGAAGATGGAAAGCGAAGGGCGTCAATGGACACTCGGATCGTGCGATATTTCTAAATCAAAGGGGCAAGAGAAGGTACAAGCTTCAAAACCAAATGAGAGGGTGATTTTGGCGAGATGAAATTGTATGATTTTTTTGCCCGAATTTTGAAAAACTTGTTTGAATTACATAATTCACTTAAAAAGCTTTAATTGTCATGTTTTCACTTTTGGTAGAAAATTTGTTTCAATACCATTTTTTTTTGCTGCAAAGAATACCTGAACATGACCATGATGTGTTTGTTGAAATGCTTTAGTGAAAATTGGGTTGTCCTCTTTTTGGGCGGTTTTGAAAGGGGCATGCCATTGATTTTGGCTCACTAAAAATGATGATTTCCTTCCCCAAATTTCGAAGTAGAAGATTTGTAAAGCTTTCATGGGATATTTTGATTGTGGTTGGGTATTTTTTTGAAAGATTGTCCGAACACGTGTGGGTTCTACTCTTGAAATTGCTTCTGAGGTGCTTATAAACAATTTGGTTAAATGCTTGAATAGTCAAGAGTTGGGTTGAATCCTAATTTCTTAGCTTGGAGTTTGTGTCTTCAGTATAGGCCTTTTAGCTTGAATCGTGCCTTGAAAAAAAATATAGAGGGGATTCCACAATCCCATAAGATCAATAAAATGGGAAATAAAATTCTGGATATCTCAAAATTCCATTTTTATTCATCCATTGAAAATGGGTTTATTACAAGCACTTATGCAATCAACTCTGATCCCTAGACCGAAATTTCTACCGTCCAAACAGACTTCAATGAAAATAAAACTACTGAAAAATAACGGTAATCTCACTACAACACAGGGGTATTTTGGCCCTTGCCCACTGTCCGAAGAAAGAAAAGGTGGTAAAGAAACTTTTGACCTGAACCCAAGAACAAATAAACTTTCTCTAGCACAAGAAACTAGGATTTAACCCAACTCTTGACCATTCAAGCATTTAACCAAATTGTAAATAAGAACCTCAGAAGCAATTTCAAGAGTAGAATCCACACTTGTTGGGACAATCTTTCAAAAAAATACCCAACCACAGTCAAAATATCCCATGAAAGCTTTACAAATCATCTTCTACTTCGAAATTTGGGGAAGGAAATCATCAATTTTACTGAGCCAAAATCAGTGGCATCTCACTTTCAAAACCACCCAAAAAGAGGACAACCCCCATTTTCACTAAGGCATTTCAACAAACACATCATAGTCATGTTCAAGCATTCTTAGAAGCAAAAAAAAATGGTATTGAAGTAGATTTTCCACCAAAAG